ATTGATTAAATAAAATTAAAATACATGATATAGTTAATACTAAATAAAGTACAGTTATCATGAATGAAATTAACCTTCTTACCTATTAATACGTTCCACTGGAAAAATAAATTCTTGAGGGCATGTTTGGCTAAACTTAAAAGAATATTTATAAGTAAATAAAAGTTAAAGCTGCTTAAGAAAATGGTTTTGTGCTTGTTCGGGAAAGTTATTAAAAAATTGAGGTCCAGGTCAACATTTAATTTTAACAATACATCAAGTGACAATTAAAATAGTTAGAAATGGAAGATGATCACCGTATGTCAATATTTACAAATTCTTTTACAAATTGGTAAGATGACAAAAAGATAGTAGAATAATTTTTTTTATGTTTGACTCAATCAAATCTCATGCACATCATCCGTTGATAATCAAATTTGTATATAATGATGTACATGTAGTACAATCGATTAAAAATATATCTTCTTGTGTGATTTTGAAACTTGATTACACCTAAAGCTCTTTTACCATCCATATCTACTTAAGTATATCAAGAGAAGTTCTCGTGCAATCTTAATACAAGATTTCTTCAGTTTCAAAAGATCTGATTTTCTATAATGTTTTAGTATATATTGTGATGGATTGAAGGAAATTGCAAACGACAAATTGTATAAGTAGGCTTCAAATTCATTAAAAAAAAAATAAATAAATTGTTATCATAAATTTGTAATTCAATCTTGGGTTTTTGAGGCCTTTTGTCTCGCCCTTTCAGGTTAGTACCAAATTTACCCCCAACCATTTCAATTAGCAAAATCCATTCATTTTGACAAATTTCTATTAGCTAGGACAATGATGTTACTTGCACTTTGAAGTTTTAGTTCAAAATTTTATGCTTCTCTTAATTTTACCACTTTCTACCATCCAAGGAACCATGTTGAGATAGAGAGGTAATATGCATGGTTACACCAAATAATAAGTAGATACATTGTTACGGTGACATAATCTATGCATTAGCTGTGTGATACTTCGTTGTTCTAAATGCGATTTTGCTTATTCATAACTTTCAATCATCTAATGAATCATGTTGAGCTAGAGAGGTAGTATGCATTGTTACATTAAATAACGTGTATTGTTCGACAATTGAAGTAGATAAATTATTATGGTCTATGCATTAGCTCTATGATATTTTATTGTTCAAAATGTATTTTTAGTTATTCATAACTTTCATGTAAATATAAGAAGTTTATAGATAGAAATATGTTCAACTCTACTTGAAAGAGATTGTCGATTGTCGATCGTCGATTTCGTGATTTCTAATTAAAAGAGATAAGTGTATGCTAGTGTGTTTTCCATAATCGAAACTTCTCAAAAAGTCTTCAACATGGTTTTTAGCAAATTAAGTTGGTTTTAGTTTAAAATAATTTTTTGGTAAATGTTATAATTAGTTGACTCCATAACTGGATATATTATAGGAATGAAGTTATTCATCATTTTATTATTTGTCCATGATATCGCATACTTGTTGATTTCAAGCGAACAATAACTAAGTTATTGCACTCAAAGTTGGCAATTTCCATCTATAAGTAGACATACTATAAATCTTTCACAAATTTCTATTAGCTGGGACAATGATGTTACTCGCACTTTGAAGCTTTAATTCGAATTTTTATTTATCTCTTATTTTACCACTTTCAATCACCTAATGAACCATGTTGAGATAGAGAGGTAATATGCATGGTTACATCGAATAATAAGTAGATACGTTGTCACAGCGACATAATCTATGCATTAGCTGTGTGATACTTCATTGTTCTAAATGCATTTTTACTTATTCATAACTTTCAATCATCTAATGAACCATGTTGACATAGAGAGGTAACATGCATGGTAACATCAAATAACGTGTATAATTTGACAATTGACGTAGATAAATTATTATGGTCTATGTATTAGCTTTGTGATATTTTATTGTTCAAAATATATTTCTAGTTATTCATAACTTTCATATAAATATAAGAAGTTTATAGATAGAAAAATGTTCGACTCTACTTGAGAGAGATTGTCGATCGCTAATTTCGTGATTGTTTGAATTAAAATAGATAATTGTATCCTAGTGCCTTTTACATATTCAAAACTTCTCAAAAACTCTTCAACATGGTTTTTAGCTAATTAAGTTGGTTTTAGTTTAAAATAATTTTATGGTGAATGTTGTAATTAATAGACTTCGTAACTGGATATATTATAGGAACGAAGTTATTCATCATTTTATTATTTGTCCATGATATGACACCCTTGCTGATTTCAAGCGAACAATAACCAGGTTATTGCACTCAAAGTTGGCAATTTTCATCTATTAGTAGACATACTATAAATCTTTGGCCAAGCTCACGTAAAGTAAACTTAGGGTTTGTTTGATGTAAATTTTTTAGAATAGATTTTGTGAAAAGTAATTCTTTTGGAGAACGTGTTAATAAAAAATAGGAAAGAATCACGGATTTGTGTACAATTATTTTATTGAGAGAATAGGAGTTTGGCAACGTATTTTGAAAAAAAATTAGTTGTAAAGGATTTTTACCAAACAGGTTGTTAATTCTCATTTTCAAGTACGTGGGTTTCTTTTTACACAAAAAATTTGTTTAAAAAAGTTATTTACTTTAAAACAAACTTATAAAGTCATACGCTCTAATATTTTAATTTACCAGTCATGTTTGCACGTGTTTTCTACAATAAAATCATGAGTTATTCTATATTTTAGTTTTGTAGGGGAGAGGGCAAGCATGGGCATCATGGCGATAACACCCATGTGTTTTCTCACAATTTGTCCACGGTTTGAATGAAGGAGGTCGAGCATTAAGAACTAGAACGATATATGTTAAGTTTAAGGGCGATTTAATGATATTGGTTAGTTAAACTCGATCGGCATGCTTGGTACGTTAAATATAAAATAAATAACAACTTTAATAAAGAAAACACAAATTAAAACTTCGTAAATTAGTATCATATTCGAGGTCCATGTGATTTGCTTGAGTTGGTGAGTCACAATCATTAAAACTTCAATGTCATTAAAGTAATGATCAACTTTAATTCAAATTTTATGCATTTAAACTTTTAGATCCTTTTTTCTCACATGCTTTAGGGTAAAGCAATTTTTTTAACAAAAAGAAGTGTGATGAAAGACAGCATAGGTTAGGCCTTCATCACCACTGGCACAAACATCGCTCTGTGTGTGTCCCACAATGATCTAAACCAAACACCCTATTTTTCATATTTTCGAAAATCAATATAAATGTCACATATGATCTCCACTCAGTTTAAGTTGTTAACAAATTTTTAGGATGAATAATAATGGTAGACTCATTTCCCAAACTTTGGTCCCAATTTTGATCCAAAATATTCAAGTATTTCCTTAAAGGGGCAACAAACTATACATTTTAATTGGCCAACCAAAGTAAGAATTGCAATCTTTACTTCATTTGGCCTCCATTTAACAATTTTCTATTATATACCTATTTGGTTCCCATTCTTTTCTCATTAAAATGAAAAATATGATTGTTATCCATCACATCAAGCCACCAAATTTGAATTTCTATCTCTTGTGTGGAGTTCGTAACGACTATATTTTTCATTCTCATTCTTCCAAAAATGAGAAACAAACGGGGGCTATGTTAAAATACTTTTTTGCATCTTAAATTTTTATCTTAACGTAAGCAATTATGCACTTAGGGTGAAATACTTGTCCATATTGCTAAGGATGAGTAACTCATCTAAGTATTCTACCGTCAATATCTTACTTGGGCGTTTTAATCCAAGAAATCTTATTATTTAGAAAACCGGTCACATGTCAATATGGTTACTCCCTGCAAAAAAATGTGCTTAAGTAACCTAGAAAAAACATATTTAATATCCTTACCATTTTTTGTTAAAATTGTAATGCCTGATCAATATAGAAAACCAAGAATAATGCTATTTGCCCATTATCAGTTTAAGTAGCAGTATAATAAATAATTAAAGAGACGTTATTGTCATCTGATTTTCGATTCTAATAATAAGAAACAGTTAAATTTGAATTTGATACAATTAAGGGGGTGTTTATTTTCCATTTTTGTAAAAATGAGAATGAAAAATATAGTCGTTATGGGTCCACACAAGAGATAGAAATTCAAATTTGGTGGCTTGATGTAATAGATAACAGTTATATTTTTCATTTTAATGGGGAAAGAATGAAAAACAAATAAGGGCTAAATTGACAAATTGGAACCGATTATAGTATGTTCCGGGAAACGACCCGACCAACCCGCCAAGGCCGCGGCCTGCTCGTACATGAATTACTTGCAAAATTCAGACTGTTCTTCCTCAATAGAACCAATGGGTGGAACAGAAAATTCAGGACTGAGGATGCTCATCGAGGGTAAAATAGTAACTTCAATCTGTTGATATTTGTCTACAGGGCAAGAAGACACAAGCTTGTGCCCTATTCAACTTTGGTCGGCTTACTCTAATTTTTTGCCTTTAATTTTCTTTTAATTCCTATTTTGGGTTCAAATTTTCTACTATTTCTATATAAGTACTGCCGACCGAGCACTTACTAGCAAAAAAAAAAACCAACATTCTAAACATATTCTAAACTAGTCGTGTTGTTGACGTAAAAACTAAAACAGTTAATTTTTGAGTACAAAAAAAACTTATAGAATTCATATAAGATTTTGAAATGGAAAAATTCTGTCCATCTATGTGTTATGTTTTTTTTCATTTTTGAATGATGTTTTAACACCTATGTTTATGGAATTTTTTTTTTTTCAAAAATCATGTACTTATAGCATTATTCAAACAGAAAAGTAAACTCGAAATCAGGCGATTGACATAAAACAAAACAAGTTGAACGAAGTTGAGTGAAATTTCGCAGAAGGGCAAATTGGTCCAAACATAATTCAAATTAGCCGTTTAATCATTTTTTCAAAAAATTACTACCTGTCAACAAATTATATAAATTGCAAAATACTTTTACGGATATATAAATGCAGATTTTCCCTGTCACAAAGCGAAAGAAACCTATACACATATATAGATACACATGAATATACACACATACACATATATAATCATTATCTTTATCATCAAACCCTCAATTTCGGTCTCCCAAGCGATCTCCTAAAATTAAGAAATTAGGGTTTTTTTAATCTCAGATCTGTTCGCATTTTCCCAATTTTCAGTCACAAGGTATATTTTTGTTTATAATATGGATGATTTTACCGGTCTGGTTATGAGTATTATTATTATTATTATTATTATTATTTTATTTTTTTTGCGGATTTTTTAAAGATTGGTATCTTGTTTTAATTTTTAGGGCTACGTTTACATTAAAGCAATCGGTGATTGAAAGTTGTTGGAATTGATTGATACGATCAAATTGAATTGGGGTGGGCCTGTGTCTTCAATTTGATGTGTTGCTTTGATTTCGATTTCTCCCCTTCTTGTATTGTAAGTCTCGTTTCGCACCATTTTCCAATGAATTTGTAATTTGTTATTAGTGGAGTTATGGGCTTTGAATTTTTGGTTAATCTTTTATTGTATTTTGTTGTTTGAAGTGTGGAAGAATTAGATCTTGAAATTGGCTCCGCAAAAAAGATCTATGCGCCACATGGGTGGCCAGATGCAGCAGAGCAATGCGGCGACTGCCACTGCTCTGTACGAGAACCCGGGACCCACGGTATCTGGTGGAGATGCTGGGGACGCCGTGATGGCGCGGTGGCTCCAGTCGGCAGGGTTGCAGCATCTGGCCTCTCCAGTGGCATCCAACACCGTTGATCATCGCCTGCTACCTAACCTCCTCATGCAGGTGCTTATACATTTTTGATCTCTCTGCTGTTCTGATTTATCTTGAAATTATTTGGTTTTGTTTTTCTCCATATATGGTGACTCGAATTTTGTTGAAAAAGTAGTGGTTGATACATTGGGAATGTGGAAGTTAGAAAACTTAAATTTGCAATGTTCTTTAGAATGTGTTCTGTCGTTTATTGTCTACTATTTTCATTCGCTAGGCGTGTGAGGGGGAGAGATGTAGTGTTGGCCATTTTTGGAGGAACCTGGACTGATTTATACTGCTATAAGTTCTGAGTATAATTCTTTTTCATGCAGTATTATTTTTTTTGCTGAAATTTTGTGTAGGATTTATTCAGTGTCAAGTGCTCTGATCAATCATGGTATTTAGTATTTTGCACTTTAGCTTAAAAAGATGCTTACTGGATCTTCCTTAAATCTATATTTTTGGTATCTCGTGAGTATTAGGTAACTTATATTTAATTTCGTATCACTTTATGACTGAAAGATTTTTTTACTTCTTTCTTTCCATAAATATGTCCTTTGAGCTTGCAACTAACAGGGAGAATTTATGACGATGTTTGAAGGGTTATGGAGCACAATCTGCTGAAGAGAAACAGAGGCTTTTCAAACTAATGAGGAATCTTAATTTTAGTGGGGAATCTGGTTCTGAGCCTTACACTCCAACTGCCCAAAATTCGGGTGCATTTGCTGCATCAGATGGCATTTATTCTCCCGAGTTTAGAGGGGATTTTGGAGCTGGGCTTCTTGATCTACATTCTATGGATGATACTGAGCTTTTATCTGACGTACATATAAATATTTGACTTAGAAAAATTTAAATTTACTTATCAAAACTAGCAAGTGATCTTAACTGATAATGCCCAATTTTCCTAATTTTTATTTCAGCATGTTATCTCAGAGCCATTTGAGACATCTCCTTTTATGCCTGCTGTATCCAATGCAATTGAGAGTGACTTTGACATGATGGCCAACAGGCTCCAGAAAGTGCAGACAGATGTGGATGCTCCTGTTGTATTTTATACAAATGAAAAAGAAAGCAGTACAAGGGAAAACAACGTGGCTAAGATTAAAGTTGTGGTATGTTCCTCGAGCAACATTTTTTCAACCTTCCCTCCCCCCAACCCGTGTGGTCTATCTTGCCAATGTTGTATGGTTGATGTCTGAGGGACTAAAAGAATAAATGTGTACTTTTTGTCTCAGGTGCGCAAAAGACCTCTTAATAAAAAGGAAATTGCCCGTAAGGAGGACGATATTGTCACCGTATGTGATGATTCTTCTTTAACTGTGCATGAACCCAAGTTAAAGGTTTGGAAGCATTAGAGCATCGTTCTTATTCTGAATTTTTAATAATTATGATATGAAGGCGGATTAGAGCTGAGTGTTGGATTATTTTTCTTTGTATGTCTGATTTGGGGAATTCTTGTTGGACTATCATATTGAAGGTGGATCTGACCGCCTATATAGAGAAACACGAGTTCTGCTTTGATGCCGTTCTGGATGAGAATGTAGCAAATGATGAGGTAATACTCCTTCAACATAAGCCCTTTTTTTTGGGTGTTCTACATGGATATGCTTGCTTTGCATTCTTTTTACTTTTTTTAAAATTCTTTTTCTTTTTTCCTCCATTATTTTATTTATTTAGTGGATGAGGTGCTGTACTTGATGGTTTGGAATTTTGAGCGATTGGTTGACGTAATGCAATGATTACTTCTGTTAATTTGTTTTCTGCAACGCTTGATTGCTACACTTTGCTTTATCAGGTATACCGCGTAACGGTGGAGCCAATTATCCCTACCATATTTCAGCGTACAAAAGCAACATGTTTTGCATATGGTCAGACAGGTATGCGGAGCCTCTATTTTCATAATGCATTAGGTTGCATCTCTATATAGTGTTGCACAGATTATGGTCGCTAGTACTAGGACCGAGGGTGCATCTTAAACATTTAGATCACCATACATATTTAGATTCTATCCAGTGAGAATATTCAGGATTTAAGTTTCTGTCATGTCTGTCGATCGCCATGGTTTCTGTTTGTCTCCCCTCGACTTGCAGGGACACTGGAAAGTATGGGGGGTTAAGGGAATGATATCACTGGATTTATATTAGTTGGACTTTAGTTGTCAAGGCCTTCACATGTAAGTCAACCTGTTATTGCTCATGCATCTTTGTTTTGAATTTGACTACCTTATGCGATTAAATTTTTGAGTTCTTTCGAGGTTAATTGGAGCCAAGATCAAATGGTATGATGTAACTTGGCTAATGGTTTGATGTACTGCCTTGTGTGATTAAATTTTTGAGTTCTTTCGAGGTTAATTGGAGCCAAGATGAAATGGTTTGATGTAGCTTGGCTAAGTATTACATGGAACTAAGCTCCTGGTTTTTGTACACGAATAGTTGTACATATTCTAAAGTTTTATTTGGATGACTGACCTATTTCTCTTCTCTTTTCTATTTTATACTTTCCAGGGAGCGGTAAGACTTACACTATGAAGCCACTACCTCTTAGAGCTGCTGAAGATCTTGTTAGATTGTTGCACCAGCCAGTTTATCGTGGTCAAAGATTCAAGCTATGGCTTAGCTTTTTTGAAATATATGGTGGAAAGCTCTTTGATCTTCTAAGTGATAGAAAGTTAGTGTTCTGTTACTTTGTACTTTGATTTTCTTTCCTCAAGTACTGATTATTTGTGCCATTGCCTACTCTCATGTTTGAATTTACTTTACTTGGAAAATGAATTTGTGAAATCATCTCGAATATTAGTGTTTGAAATGGCTCTCGATGATGTTTGCCTGCTTGTCTCATAATTTGTATCCAGAAAAATCATGCATCTTTGATATGACATGAACTTCAAATAAATGCAATGGTTATACAGTGTTCACATTTCTGGTTCCCTGATATTATTTTAATGTGCAATGATGTTTCCAATTCTTTTTGTAGGAAACTTTGTATGAGAGAAGATGGGAGGCAACAGGTTTGCATTGTTGGACTACAAGAATTTGAAGTATCAGATGTGCAGCTCGTGATGGATTATATTGAGAGGGGAAATGCCTCTAGAAGTACAGGTTCGACTGGTGCTAATGAGGAGTCATCGAGGTCACATGCAATATTGCAACTGGTTGTGAAGAAGCACAATGAGGTGAAAGACTCTAGGCGGAATAATGATGGAAATGAGTCCAAGGGTGGGAAGGTTGTTGGGAAGATCTCCTTCATTGATCTTGCTGGTAGTGAGAGAGGTGCTGATACAACTGATAATGACCGACAAACACGGTACTAATTCTGGTAGACACGTAGCCAATGGCTTGTGTCTTCGCATTTTCCTTTTGATTTTTATATCACAAGCTACATTTTCATTTGCATCTTGCCATGTTTCAAAAGCTGATATCATGTTGCTCTTTGTTAAAGAGCTCCTTTTTTTATGACTGAATTCTGTTCAATAGACTTAAAGGAAATATAACTGACTATCTGTCGTTTCACTTTTGAGACTGTGCTCACTGGTCGCTAAAATTCTTGTTTAAATAATAATTGATAACTCTATTTCTTATATGTTTCAGTGATGTGTAAGATTAAAAAAATGAAATATTACATCACTGCAAATGTATTCATTTTTACCAGCTTTGAGGGATTTCAGTGCTATGGCTGCTTGATAATATTTGAAAAAAATTAATGGATTGGCGTTTAATATTAATATTAAACAATAAATATTACTTTCTGGTACCCTTTCTTATATGAATTCTTGATATTTGTATCTTATCTGGTCGTATTTGAAAATTGTTTTAGCAACTTTTCTCAAGGGCCAGTCTTGTAACTCCAGGTGATGTATTTTGTTGTTTCGTAGGATTGAAGGAGCAGAAATCAACAAGAGCCTTTTGGCTTTGAAGGAGTGTATTCGTGCTCTTGACAATGATCAGATCCACATTCCATTCCGTGGGAGCAAACTCACTGAGGTGCTTCGTGACTCCTTTGTTGGCAACTCAAGAACCGTTATGATCTCTTGCATTTCTCCTAACGCTGGTTCCTGTGAGCATACCCTTAATACATTGAGATATGCTGATAGGTAGTTTGTTTCTATGTGAGTTAATATCTTATTTTACTTAAATCATGTGGCTTAAGCTCATAAATTGCTTTGAGTTGGTAGGGTTAAAAGTCTTTCCAAAAATGGAAACCCAAAGAAGGATCAAGCTAGTTCATCACCGTCTATTATCAAGGAATCTTCATCAGCACCATCTCCATCTTTTGGTGCTGATACAGAGGATGTTTATGAGAAAGGTCAAGAGTCTAAAGCAGTGGATACAAATAGAAGGGATCTAAGGAAGGAAACTTATAATGTTTCTACTGATTATGACAAACCACCCTCAAGCTTTTCTTCTAACACTGCCTTTAATGCTCATGAGGAAACTGGCGTGACTTCTTCTGCTTTGGAGAAGGAGCGGTTTGATGTGAGAAGTTCTGTGATTTCTACTGGTCAGAAGACATACTCGACATTATATTCACAGAATTCTGCTGATACGGAAGAAAAGGTTCAGAAAGTGTCTCCACCTCGGCGGAAAGTTTACAGGGATGAAAAGCTGGGAATTGGTTCTAAAAGAGATGCTGCTAATTCTGATTTGCCAACAACCACAAGTTATAAACAGCAAATCACAAACAATTCTAACGCAGCTAGTATTGGCTCATTTCCTGGTTTAAAAAGAGATGGTGCTAGTTCTGATTTGCAAACCACAAGTCATAAACAGCAAATCTCGAATAATCCTAATGCAGTCAGTAGTGGCTCCAAACAGTCAGAACTCGAGCCTCCTGATGAAAGCATAAATGAGATACTCGAGGTTGGTTTTGAATGCACAACTTCTCAATAACTTCAATCATCTGTTAAAATGGAATTATGGAAGTGTTTCATACTTGATTATTCATTGTATTCATTGTACTTTTTGACTGTGAAGGAAGAAGAGGCCCTGATTGCAGCCCATAGAAAAGAAATTCAAGATACAATGGAGATAGTTCGTGAAGTAAGTGGAGAACCATTTTTGTCATTATTCTATAATGCTTCATTTCGTAACAACATATAGGGTTTCATTTTCACACAATGCTGTAAGAGAGGGAGCGCGTTGTCGCGGGCCTACTTTCGTTACACCCGAACTACGCTAGAACCGTGCGGCTTTAACGCTTCAACCCTCCCGTCCCACGAGATAGTGTTAAGTCTGCCTTACACCCTCACAATAATTTAACCAATGAGCCTAAATTATATGATAACTTTGGTAGAAAAGGTAGATAGGAAAATTATGAGGAAAAGAGCACACACGTATGTTTGGGGAAAATTCTTTGTATAAATATAAGAGAAAATTATTTACAAACACACTACAATTTTCTTTCTACAAAGATATTATTTTACCTTACTTACTCCCCTTTCTATCTAAATCTCAACTCTCTAATATTCTCTCTTTCCCCTTCATTCCATTCATTTGATTTACAAATGACCAAGGCCCTCTATTTATAGGCAAACTCAAAGTATGCAAGTTAGCATCAATGGCTAGGATTAATATAAATTCAAGTGTTCTCATCGGTTGCAACTTGCCTTAAACCTCCTTTGACCATAAGGTAGCGAAGTTGGAATTGACTACCTTGCAAGTAGCATTGGTGCATTGTATCTTGCCTTTTTCCATCTCTATGATAGTTGGCATGCCACTTTCCATGCAAGTGGATCCGTACAACTCTGTGTGCGAGTGGATATGTCTCCATCAAGGTGGCCAAGTTGGACTTTATTTCCTCAAGCAAGTTGTCAAGTTGCATGTTGGCCTCATTTTGCAAGCTGTCCAATTGGCTAGAGTTGGCTTACACTTGCATCCAAAACTATTGGCTATAATCCACGGTATTGCTTCCCTTTCATAGTAGTAGTTTTCACCCGAGAAAACCAGATTTTTCTCCAGCCGACGTCTGCCTGCGTCCCCAGCTTACGGCTGCCTACACAGTCTGCCTGTGTTGCTGTTGCGTCCCCTGTCGCAACCTGACTGCGTCTACCTGAGTTTTGCCTGCCTGCCTGCATCCCCTTGCTACAGTTCCTGACTTGGTCCTGCCTGCGTCCCTTGTCGCAGGTTCCTGTGTTGTTCAGCCTGCGTCCCCTAACGCAGTGCCTGTGTTTTCCCTAGTTGCGTCCCCTATCGCAGGTACTTTCGTCCAGCAGTAACGCACTGCTTGCGTTACCCACATTTCCTAGCCGCAACCTAGACGTATTAGTCGCGACTATGGAGGACGTAAGTCACTCCCCCACTAAATTTGACGCCGCCCTCATTGCCATGTACCGTTGAAGCTTAGACTTTATTTGCCATAAGTCTATCTCATTTTCCCACTTTGTGTCATGACATTCCCATGTCATGCCAAGCCTCAAGTCATGACCTTGCGGTCTGTGACATTCTCCCCACTCAATCCGCTAATGACCTCGTAGCGAAACGTGTTTCGTGCATCCTCATGCAACCTTGCATTGTCCTCTACGTCAATTGTTATCAAAGTTCTCCCAACGTGCGACACCATCCCCTCGATAACCGGGTTTCCACTATGCCCCTCGCACCTCTTCCCATTGCAACCTCTTGCATGCCACCTTCGACACCAACCTTCACCATCTACACCTCTGCATTGGTTCCTCGAATGGACAACTCCTCCGGTTGTAGTGTCCCCACACATGTCGAAGCTTTGGACCTTCGTGCACCCAATTTCTGACCTCTTTGACAATGCTTCCTCAATTTCCTTCTTTTTCAATAGTTCCCTAGGCAACTCCACGAGCATCATGTCTTTATCATCTTCAAGGACTTCCGCTACCTGCATCACCAACAGTAGTTGTGTTTCTATCCCCACAGAAATTGTTTCAGCACTCATAGCATTAAACAGCTGGAATGTATTAATTTGAACTTTATCCTCATCTTGGCTATCCATGGCCTCTGGTTTGCTCTCCGAAATGGAAATGGATGCCAATGATCCCAACTTAGGACAATCCCTGTGTAAAATTACTCCTCTTCTTCTCATCATACTCCTTTCTTAAAAAAGCTTGTGTGTTGCCATTTGGACCTTCGTGCACCCAATTTCTGACCTCTTTGACAATGCTTCCTCAATTTCCTTCTTTTTCAATAGTTCCCTAGGCAACTCCGCGAGCATCATGTCTTTATCATCTTCAAGGACTTCCGCTACCTGCATCACCAACAGTAGTTGTGTTTCTATCCCCACAGAAACTGTTTCAGCACTCATAGCATTAAACAGCTGGAATGTATTAATTTGAACTTTATCCTCATCTTGGCTATCCATGGCCTTTGGTTTGCTCTCCGAAATGGAAATGGATGCCAATGATCCCAACTTAGGACAATCCCTGTGTAAAATTACTCCTCTTCTTCTCATCATACTCCTTTCTTAAAAAAGCTTGTGTGTTGCCATCAGGTCCATAATCACCCTTAGAATTTTGCCTCCAATCTGGCTTACTCCATTGCATGGCTTTCCTTGTATCTTCCTTATTACCTCCAAAATTTCCTTTGGCGGGCTTGATAGTTTTAGCTTCAGCTTGAAGACTTTCTTCGAACTTCGTCAAGGATTCAGCTACTGCAATTGCCTCGTCTACGGTTTTGACACCTCGACATTGCAACTCTTGTCGTACCCACGTAGCACAACCGTCTAGAAAATAGAATAGCAAATCATCATCTGGCGTGCTTGGGATTTGAAGCATAAGGGTCGTGAACTCTTTGACATATTCACGAATTGTTCTCGTATGTTTCAATTCCCTCAATTTCTTGCGAGCCTCATAAACGACATTCTCCGGGTAAAATTGCCTCTTTATCTCCCTTTTGAACTTGTCCCAAGTATCAAACTTGCAAGCTCCCCTTGCAATTTCGTCATGCTTACGACGCCACCACAACGCCACAATATCCGAGAGATACATTGATGTAGTTTGTACCTTCATTGCCGCCTCGACAATATTTATACCATCAAAGTATACTTCCATTTGCCATAGGAAATTTTCCATGTCTGCGGCATCTCTACGGCCATCATATTCTTTCGGCTTTGGGTAGTCAATTATCGGGGCAACAACACTTGTAGTGGCACCTCCGCTAGTATAAGGAGTTGATAGCTTCATTTGCCTGAACTCATGGCTCATTTTCTCCAACGTCATAGCCAACATGTTCACTTGCCCTTGTATTGCACAAACAACATCAATGACTTTGGCTTGCAGAAGGGTGAAATTTTCACCCGCAGCGGCTTGTCTGACTCCCACAATCTAAACATCATGCTTCATCGCCTGGACATCGTCCCCAACGATGCCTGATTGTCCATCACCTCTTGGACATTAATTTGGAGAGTTTCTAACTTACCAATGGTATGATCCTCCAGTTCCCCCCTGGAATGCTCTAAGGACTCAACCCTATCACCCATAGTAATAATGATCGGGTCAAGTTTTTCCTCCATCATTGAAGTTTTCCGTGCTTTTCTCTTACCGCGCGTCCTCATTCCTTCTACTAGGGTAACACCACGTCCACTCTCTACTTCAATTTTAATAGCATCATGAGATTCCGCCATTTGAGTGCCTCACCCAAATCTAGCTTCCAAGAATCTCCCGCGAATCTGGCTACCACAGTCGCACTTGGTTGCCACTACCAAACCTTCGCCTTGATACCGCCTCCGTAGTCCACACCACATGAACCTTACACAGACGTCACCTCACCTCTGAGATGAAAAATTGGTTCAACCCCACGTGAACCTTGTTCTGATACCACTTATCACGGGCCTAGTTTCGTTACACTTGAATTACGCTAGAATCGTGCGGCCTTAATGCTCCAACACTTCCGTCCCCACGAGATAGCGTTAAGTCAGCCTGATACCCTCACAATAATTTAACCAATGAGGCTAAATTATATGATGACTTTGGTAGAGAAGGTAGATAGGAAAATTATGAGGAAAAGAGCACAAACATATGTTTGGGGAAAATTCTTTGTATAAATATAAGAGAAAACTATTTATAAACACACTACAATTTTCTTTCTACAAAGATATTATTTTACCTCACTTTACTCTCTTTTCTATCTATGAGAATTTTCTCTCAACTCTCTAATATTCTCTCTTTCCCCTTCATTCCATACATTTGATTTACAAATGACCAAGTCCCTCACTCCCTCTATTTATAGGCAAACTCAAGGTATCTAAGTTGGCATCAATGACTAGGATTAATCTTGATCCAAGGGTTCTCATTGGTTGTAAGTTGCCTTAAACCTCTTTTGACCATAGGTAGCCAAGTTGGAATTGACTACCTTGTAAGTGACATATCTCTACACTTGCAAGTTGCTTGGGTGCATTGTGTCTTGCCTCTTTCCAACTCTATAATAGTTGGCATGTTACTTTCCATACAAGTGGATCCATACAACTCATGTGTGCAAGTGGACATCTCCATCAAGGTGACCAAGTTGGACTTTGCTTCCTCAAACAAGTTGTCAAGTTGCATGTTGGCCTAATTTTGCAAGTTGTCAAATTGGTTCGAGTTGGCATACACTTGCATCCAAAATTACTGGCTATAATCCACGGTATTGCTTCCCTTTCATAATAGTAGTTTACACCCGAGAAAACTAGATTTTCGTCCCTGCATCCCCAGCCGATGTCTGCCTGCGTCCCCAGCCTACGGTCGCCTACACAGTCTGGCTGTGTTGCTGTTGCGTCTCCTGTCGCAATCTGCCTGTGTTGCTGTTGCATCCCCTGTCGCAATCTGCCTGCGTCTACCTGAGTTTTGCCTGCCTACGTCCCCTTGCTGCAGTTCATGTCTTGGTCCTGTCTGCGTCCCCTGCCGCAGGTTCCTGTGTTGTTCAGCTTGCGTCCCCTAACGTAGTGCTTGTGTTTTCCCTACCTACGTCCCTTACCGCAGGTACTTCAGTCCGACAGTAGCGCACTGCCTGCGTCATTCGTATTTCCTAGCCGCAATCTAGATGTATCAGCCGCGACTATGGGGGATGTAAGTCACTCCCCCATTAAATTTGGTGACGCCCTCATCGCTATGTACCGCCGAAGTTTAGACTTTATTTGCCATTAGTCTATCTTATTTTCCCACTTCATGCCATGACATTCCCGTGTCATGCCAAGCCTCAACTCATGACCTTGCGGTCCGTGACAGCGTGATCAAAACTTATTAATATACCTGTAGGATTTTCTCCAAGTTCATATAGGAAACACATTCCGTGATTGATTATAATTGCTTTTACTCTCTTGGGCACTTCCGGGAGTAATCGTCACCAACTCCAAATGTTCATCTGCATTTCTATGGACAACCAGTTTTCATTTATGTGCTTCTACAATACATCCATCTTACTTAACTAAATGATAGCAAATAATATTAATAATAATAATAACCACAAGAAGTAAACTTTGACTAACTGCAAAACAATGAACTGTTCTGTTGAGCACAGGTAAAGAGACGTATTGACTTGTTTTTCTTTTGAATGCCAGGAAATGGAACTGTTAGCGAAAGTTGATCAACCGGGAAGCCATATTGACAATTATGTCACCCAATTGAGCTTTGTGCTCTCACGCAAAGCAGCAAGTCTGGTCGGCCTTCAAGCTCGCCTGGCAAGGTTCCAGCATCGGCTGAAAGAACAGGAAATTCTGAGTCGAAAGAGGGTACCTCGTTAAGGCAATATTTAAATGCCAGTTGTGCCACAATTCTAACTCCTGCCGTGTACTTTGCTTGTTACTTTGGTTTTTTAATCACATACAGCTTAATTTTACTGGCAATACATGTATACAAGTCGCCTGGCAAAGTTTGTATTTGTTCTGCAGAAGGAAAAAAGTAATAGATCTGGTGGAAAATATATTCCGAACTGGCACAACTTGTACCATGCTGCATTCGCGAAGAAGAAAACTATGTCTTGGATGAGGATTCAAGCCTGGACTTTGGAGATTTACGCCCATCTTGCATTGGGTAGTTGTTTGTTAAATGATGCAAGGATTCATGTTTGTTGGTGAAAGTGTATTATGAAAAATATTTCGACTGAATTGAATCTTGATTTGTTCTTATGGAGCGTTGTTGGTAGGTTCGGTAGGATTCTAGCTGTTGGCTGCCTGAATGATTTGAAGAGGCTTTTACTTTTATAGCAAAATGAAAACATAATAATTTCACTGGTTTATCATTGATGTACTATAAAACCTTTGCATTTCTTCAATTTCTATAATCTTTGATTCCTCATTCGTTTGGTCTGAGTTCTTGTTTGTATATGGAAGTGGATGAAATCAGCTGCCTAGTTTCAGTTAGTACTGCACTTTTTTATAGATTGGAAAGAGTTTCAAGGTGGGAAATGGTTGAATTCGCCAGCGGTGTGAATGGATTAGCTCTAATTGTTTAGAGCTGTCCAAAGTGTACTAGGAGGTATTGGACTAATTCCTTCTCCCATGAGCTGACATCAATGTCCTTTCCAGTCTTGTCCTCAACTTCATCCACAAAGTATCTAGCCTGCATTTGAATTCAAATGAATTATGAATAATACTACCCAAGGCACCAAACAAAAGAAATCTTCAACCAACCTAACAGAACAGCGAACGTATCTGTACTTCCAATTACGCCAGTGTCGACTCCTTTGAGTGAATCAAGATACTGGAAGGAACTTTTTATCCTTCCTGTTGATAACTGCTAAAACAAAAATGGATTTCTTTGTGGATAGGTACAAAAATCTGAGAAAGAAAAGGAAACCAAATATGAATGAGCTGATGGCGTAAAACAGCAGAAAATGAAGAATGAAAGTTGCTTAACAACTGCGTATGATCAAATGGCTAAACCAACGAAGATATTGTCTCATCGTTAAAGGGGGAAGCGTTTGTAGAAAATAATATAGACAGTATGAAGTACGTATTCAAGAGATGGCATTTCAAGAGCCTTAAAACATTGATTATTGAACTGCCATAACAAGTCAATCAAGCTCTGGCGTTTTGAATAAGGGAATTGATTATTATTTCTGAATTTGATCGATCACAGGTGAAACTGCGGCAAGAGATTTGGAATTCGATGGGAAATATTGATCATTACGAAGCTTGCTTTTGCAGATTAAAGCCCTTCTTTCGAAAGGGTAAATTGAGGTGGAGTTATTCAAAATCCAAGAAATTAATAGAAATGATTCTTTGAAGATTCGCATTTTGACGAAAAATTTACAGTTTTTTTGGGATTTGCCTTGATGATCAAACAAATTTCAAGTGTGCAGTAATTGATCTTGCAGACCTGCTTCCCAAAATAGATTTTGGTTTTTGAATATATGAATTTGATGAAGATGAGTTACAGTAAATGCAAAACGAATCCAAGGAACATTGAAGATCAGAAATATAAATTCTGCTATTCGGAAGTTTTAAGATTTTAGACGAAGGGGTACAATAGAATCACACGCCGTGTATTGAAATAAGAGCGTTTCAACGAATACCCAAAAAGATGTCAACCTCCGTGATAAACATTTAATATCAAAGAATCGACTAGTTCCACTAGAAACTGCATACAATAGCATAACCCAAAAAAGAAGAATGAAAGAAAAATGAGGAGGAAAAAAAATCATCATGATCTCCATTCCTAAGTTCATAGCTACGGTAGCTTCATCGATATTACCTACCAAATAAGAAGTCTACTCAAGAAAATCATCTAAGTCTCCGAAAAGGATCCTAAAACCTGATAGTAACGATGCCTATGCCATTATCGAATTTCTCCGGAAGGTAGCTATTTTCCCTAGTAATTGATGTTTGGTTAAGCATTATATCGAATAAAAACAAATTTATCTATTTAGGCTTTGTTTGTGCTTAATTTTTAGGAGAATAAATTTGTAATGACGATTTTTTTTTTGGGAGAATGTGTGGTTAAAAAATAGTAAAAAAAAATAAATTTGGATTTACGGACAAACCTATTTTATTGATAGAATAAGTGATTGAAAATGTGATTGGGAAAAAAATGAATTTTTAGAAAACGAGGCTTAACATAGGCTTATAAGTAAACTGAAAGTTTAAGGAACGTTCTACAACCACTTGAAAATTCATGGGAATGCTTTACTATGTCAAATTCAAATTTTAGCATTACCAAGTTTACGTTTCAATTTACCGTTTGATCTTACGTGCGGAATTAATACAATTAATCGTAACAAGTCACAAATTAATTGTTGTCTAGGTGATTAGATATACACGTTCAATTAAGCCTATGTTGAATTATCAATTTGCGTAAAGTAAATAAAACAGTAACAAACCAACTTTAACTTTTGTGCTTGCCCTAACTTTATCTGTTCATTTTTCCTGGATGATTATGCTGTTCCATATGGCGATCTTCCAATGATTGATCGACATGCACTGTTTCAGCTGGAAAATGTGGTGAAGAACATTAAAGAGAGCTATGATAGTTACCAGTTCTTCAAAATATTTCAGGTATAATTTTCCCCAACCTTCTTGATATATGTACGATCCTTTAATGCTTTATTAAAAAGATTTTTGATGAATATATCGTAGAAAATTGGTTGCACGGAACAATACATGTATGTCGATAGAGCTTTTTTATTTAGAAAAAAAGAAGAAGGAAAGAATATGCAAAAATATATAGTGGAGTTTGATTATTTTAACATATATTTCATTAACACAGTTTTACATGTACTAAAAGTTTTAACACTATTATCTATTTTCAAAAACTACATTTGTCAATTTTTAACACAATTTTACGTGTATTACCATTATCTATTTTTAATAAAAAAACTATTTCGTCAACTATTAACACAATTTCACGTGCATTAAAAGCTTTTGTTAAGGGATGTGTATCCCACGTCAGTTTAATACCAAAATAAATACTAATTTATAAATATTTTGGGTTTCTCCATTTAATAAGATTGACTTTATTAAGATGAATATCAAGTTTTAACATGAAATCAGAGTCATCTCGTGAATTTTAAGATTAATCTGTTCAAATGAGCCATCATCTTGAGGGGTCTGTTGAGGGATGTGTCATCCCATATCAGTTTAATACCAAAATAAATACCAATTTATAAATATCTTGGGCTTCTCCATTTAATAAGGTTGACCTTATTAAGATGGACCCAAATCTTAACAGTTTTAATACTATTTTTTATTTTCAATAATAAAATTTTAGTTGTCAATAAACTTGTGACACCAGTTGTTATTTAGTACTATATCTATTTCAGATGATAAATGTAGAGAGTGAGACCATGTATCTTAAAATATATTTACTTTCTTTAAAATTGTTAGTTGATAAATATGATCTAATTTCAATAAGTTACTGATAATAACAATGGTTATCTACTATGTAAATTTTTTTATATCTATTGCCAATATTACTGAGTTATAAAAGAGTATAAAACTAATAACTCTTCTTTTTTATGTGTCCTAAAGAGTCTAATATGCATCGAAAATTTAAAAAAAATATTAAAAATATAAAATCATTAAAATACACATATTGTGTACGTATTAGAGCATGCTAAAGCGTATCCAAGCTTGGATACTTTTCCAAACGCAATACTCAATAAGATTACACGATTCATGTTTCTTAGGTGATAACTAATGGATAGGGAAAGACCTTATCAGCGTTAACTTTAGTTGGTATGAAAGTTACATTAAATTTACAATAATGAATATGTGGTTGAAGGCATTCTTATGATCAGCGAACCTATAAATTGGATAAAATTTGTTAATTAGAGTAAAAATGCTTCGAGTTTTGTCCATCAGATTATTTTGCCAATTAATCCTTCGGTTGCTATGAATGTTCACTAACATTTTACTTTTTCTTCATTGTCAATTTCTTTTCACCTCATACAGATCATTCAACGATTTGTGATTGTCTATCTTTCAAATTTTTACTTGGATGTTGCCAAGGACCGGCTTTATGTTGGGTAAGCTCCTTGCCATTGTCAAGAGCTCATGTAAATTCCCTTTTATATATTTTTTTTGCTTATTCACACAATACAAAATATAAGCCTCTGTGCACAAGATTACCCCGTGTAACAAGTTCAGATTGTCATTTTTTTTGCTTGTCAAGACTTAATCTTTAGTACAATGCAGTATCCCTCCAGGATTAATTTGCTCAAGTACCGTTCCTGAATTTTCATCTTGAAATATATTGATTCTCTGATGCCAATTCTAATATAATCATATATTTTTCCTCCTATTCTGTAATTAATAGGGGTACCTTTAGTTCTACAAGGAGGAGCTGTCAAACAGTACTTGCTGCACATTTACTTTCCGTTTTCAGGGTCATTGCTCCAGTTTTGCCTCATTTGGCAGAGGATGTGTGGCAGCATCTTCCTTTTCAGTTCACCACTGAAGATGGTTGTCTTGCAAACTTCGTCTTTGAGTCAAAATGGCCAATGTTAAATGAAAGACACCTTGCTTTCCCCATAGAAGAAGTCCATTTTTGGGAGAAGATTCTTGAGGTAATAATAAGGTTTTCTGCATCACATCACATCACATGCAGGTCGTATGTGAATGAATTGAGTTGTTCATGATATTTGAACTTACACATTAATCCGACAATGTTTCCCTTCTCTTTTGAATTGCCACCTCTCCCCTAATATATTACTTTGGTCAGCTGAGAACGGAGGTGAACAAAGTGCTTGAGGTTGCACGTGGTAAGAAGTTGATCGGTTCTAGTTTAGAAGCAAAGGTCTATCTCCATGCCTTTGACGATGGTTTGGCCACAAGACTGGTCAACATGTGTACTTCTGAGAATGACGCTGATACATTGCACCGCATATTTATAACATCTCAGGTATGCTAAACAACGAACATTATTTTATATCTCTGGCCTTGGTGAATTTTGAATACTTTCTCACCCATTTATAAAATATGCAGGTCGAGATTCTTCCGTCACTGGAAAATGTACAGGATGAAGATATTCTGTGCAATGGAGAATATCTCATTCAAGGAAAAACAAAATATGGGTCGGGGTGTCACGTGCAACTGACTCGAAATGTGAAAGATGCTGGAGTTTTTCATCTCAAGTTAGCACTTTTGACGACCATCCCTCGCTATGTGGTCGCTGTTATGATGTTGTCAGCCAGCCAATACCAACTATGGCAGTGGTTTAGTTGAGATTTCATTATGTTATACAAAATGTACTATATTTATTGGAGTAATGCTTGGGGTACATAATAGACACCATTAGACATCATAATGGTGTCTATTATGTTCAAGAAGAATAATCCTATTTATTGCACTACTTCATAATGAAGATGATTTTTGATGGCATATTGAATAAATTTTGGGCTTTAAAATTATTTTAAATAAGACAACTTATCTTTATTGTGTGCTGGGAAAAGAATATTTTGTGTACTTTCTTAATTTATTTAAACTATTTAATCTAGAATAAAATATCCGATTAATGGGCCCACATGGGCCTTTCTGAAATGCAAAGTTGGTCCAAATTAGATTTGGGACAGCTGGAGAATTTTGCTATAAGTTAACCGAGTTATGGGTTTGTTTCACGTTGGTTACTTAACTTCAACTTTCTTGATTCGATGAAATAATTATACTTCTATTTCAATTTAAACACTATATTAATATTTATTTTTGGTTTCAATTTAACCGTTTCTTTCATAACCATCAATAAAATTGTTATGTTACAGGCAAAATTTGTGAATTTAACTAATGCTATGGTGCAATTGTACGCTCATAATGTGAAATTGGGCAGTACGATTTTTTTATTGGATACTGAGTGGATTGATTTGGGAAGAGATGTCAGCAAGTATTTCAACAATAAAAATTTACCTTAGTCCATGTTTGATTTGGATTAAAATTTGATTTTAATCTAAGTCAAAGTCAAACAATCATTATTAACAACGTCATTCATGGGTTTCATAACTTTTTAACTATACATTTCAAAAATTTCTATTACAATCTGTTAAAAAATCTAATTTTAATTCCCACAAAACATCCTCTTAGTCATCTCAGTTGGAGGTTGATATCCTCAGGTCATCTTGGGTGTGAGAAAGAAAGGTGGCAAGAAGGTTTGGTAGACAATGGGGCATATAAAGAAATTAGAGCTTTATTATAAGTTAGGTTATAAAATTCCATTGGTTAGATAGAGAATGTATGAATTAAGACAAAATATAAGTGGCGACAAAATTGAAATAAATTTAAGTTAGGTGATAATATTGAAATAAATAGTGTTAGTTTTGGTAGAGAATGTACGAATTAATAAAAAAAATATAAGTGGTGACAAAATTGAAATAAATTTAAGTTAGGTGATAATATTGAAATAAATTAATTTCCGATGGTCAATATGAAACAAATTTATAAGTTGTGTAACCTCTAATGAATTTTCCTCAAATAAATTGGCCCTTTTACTGTGAATTCGCTGCATCAAATTCAAATTCACAAAATCAGTCGCTCGCTCGCACACACTGTTAACAGGGTCACTATTTCCTCACAGCAGAGAAACATCTCCGATAAAGAAATGGTAATTTGATTTTTCAATTGTTGATTTTTCCTGTGATATGTATCTAAATTATTTTGATTTACTGTAAATCTTACACACTCAATTAGATTTCAGGGTGGTTTACTTTTCACGTTTCATAATCATAGATTAAGCATTTTGATCTGTGTTTTTCAAAGATTTATTCTTAATATTAGACAAGATTTATTTTATTTATTGATTTGCGACAATGCCAAAAAAGAACAACGACATGTCGTCTATGGTCTGTTAAATTTCGGTCATGTGGTTCTTCAATTTCGTTGCTTTCCTTTTCTTTTCTTTTTTTTTTTTTTTTTTT